TGTTTCACAGACACAGTCATGATCAGGCAAGAAAGATTCTTAAGTATGATACTTACCTGCAAGTTCATTCTTAATTTCAAGCATACTGCATAGTTCATTCAAGACAAGAATTTGTTTTGATAATCATACTCAAAGCCCTTAACTCATTCATTCAAGTACATAAATAATTTTTCAAGGTTTAGTGAAAACATTGATTAACCACCAAGGCCCATTATAACAAAAAGAAAGCACATATATAAACTACTGAAGCATATACTAACTCAATACCCATATCATAGAATGTAAAACATTGATGATGTACTTGATAATGTGTGTCATCACTTTATTAACCAAAACCAAGCAAAGAAACTAAACAATGACAAGAACCTTCTCAAATTTGGATGACCAAAACTTTCCTGAACTCTTTAAGTTTAAACCTATTATCATCATAATCAAAACTAAGCAAAAAAAAATTGAGCAGTGACAATAACCTTCTCAAAGCAAGATGGCTGAAACTCTTTCAGTCTAATTCCAGTCCATGTTAATTCCTGATTTATAAACATAAAAGGTCAAGATCTCATTTAACATCATTATAACAATGTCATCATAAAAAACCACTAAATTAAATAACACTCACAGTTGGAAAAAAAATAAATACTAAAGATTTAATCTATTGCATTCAAGACACAAATCAAATATGTTAGGACAAGAAACTAAATAGAATATGATGTAATACACCTTTTTCAAATATCACCCTCCTCATAACTCCTCCAATTTTTTCTTAAATTCTCTTCTTTATACAGGGTTCGTTTTAACTCATTGTATTCCTAATGATTCAACTTTCAGCCTTTCGAGAAGCTGTGAACGGTGTAATTTAGTTACACAAAAGTTTGAATAAGTTTAACACACACTAACAACCATATATATATATATATATATAACAGAATCAAGCCCGAATGTAATGGCATCATCAGCATTGGATTATAAAATGAATATTCCAGCAAATAAAAACCATTAACTTATTTATGCATTGATTTATTCTTTTTCAGCAACACTTGAATGGGATATACGATCCTCCTCGAACAACAACTTTAATTTAGACGGTGACAGTGAATGGAGCAGTGAATACCCCACTGATTTCAGTTCATGTGGTTTCAGTGAAAGAGGGAATTGAATCATGTATACAAACTTATTCAAACTTTTAATTCTATGCCCTCTACAATCCCAACAAAAGAGCACCCACGAAAATAACATCCCAGGATCCTCACCAACAGTAGTATGATATATAAATGGGAGATATATATATATAAAACTAGCTGTAATCCAATGATTAAAATTTATTTATTAATGAATGAGACATTACTCTACTTTAATTTTAGAACAAAACACCAACAAAATTCAACATGTTTGATAAATAGCAAATTCTTTAATCAGATTCTTTTTTTTTTTTTTTCAGTTTAACCAATGATCTTTAATTCAAATTTTAACCAATGATTTTTATTTCAAATTTTAAGCATACAGATATATTAACTAAATATTTGAATAAACTTTTCGGTTAGAAGATATCCTAGAGAATCAAAATAAATAAATAAATAACGCAGTCAAAACTTATGTTTGCTTTCCATTGATATGGCTTTGATTCTGAAGCCCCCAACCTCATTCGCCATGGGAGAAGTCTTATCATCCTTGTCATAAATAAATGCGAGAAGAACATGCTTGAATTCCTCATATGCTTCCTTAAATACAAAGCCAACCGTCAGAACCAAACAACACCAAAAAAAGGAAGAAAAAAAAAAACAGAGTGAATTCAATTTGACGAATTCAATACCGGATAAGCGTCGAGCGCGCAAGGAGCGAGAGCCGTTTTGAGACACTCGATAGCAGAGTCTCGTTCCTCCGCGGTCCCCTTCCGAAGAAGCTCAATAAATTTCTGCAAAAAGGAAAAAAAAAATGAAGTTAGGTATAGGGTTGGTCAGAATTTGCGATGCGAGTAGAAAAGAAAAGGAATGAGAACCTGTTTGTGCAAGCGGAAGAGAATTTTGCGGTCGGAGAGGATGGAGGGGGCGTGGAGGCGGAGGAGGTGGAGGGCGGCGTCAATGGCGGGGGTCTCGAGGGAGTGTCTGATCTGGCGGATGAGGAGGCCGGAGTGGTAGGAGGAGGAGGAGGTTGAAGGGGCGGAGGAGTCTTCGATTAGGTTTTCGGATTTAGCGAAATCGATTAAGAGAGCGTCGAGGGCTTCCCAATTAACTCCATCTGAGTCTGAGATATGAGAAAATAAAAATCCTAACAGATGTTATGCTGAACAAGAAAAGGAGAGAAATGTTAGAGATACTGGAAGATGAACGTGTTAGGTTAATTTAGAAGAATGAAAGAGAGAAAATAAGGCGGAAATCTTAGGTTAAAAATAAGGTTAATTTGAAAGAGTCACAGAGAGGGAAATTTAGAAAAATTTAAATTTTTAGAAATTGTGAAACTTATAATTTTTTTTTCCTTGTAGTATTAGCATATTATTTAATTAATAATTAAAAATAGTATTATGTAAAAAATTAAATTATTTATAGATAAACATAAAATATAACTAATATATTTAAAAAAATTATTTATACAAATTCTTCGTACATTATATTATATATATATATATATATATATAT